CTGCGAGCAAGTTATGCTCGCGAAGGAGACGGCGGAGCGGGACCGGGAGAGGTTTAGAACTCTCCCGGCCCAACAGGCCCGGGAACGGGCCAAGTACCGCAGGCGACTCAGGCGCCGGAGGTCGCAGAACGACCTCCGTCCTCCATAAGCGCAGGCCTGGGGGTGACAGGTGAGGCCATCTGTCACCCTAGCAGAAGCAGGTAGGGGTGGCGGCGAGCGCGTTGCGAAGCGCGCTGGCTTCCAGGGAGCAGAGGGAACATGGAGTTCCCACACGAGGGGGGTCGTCTACTCGTCTGTAGATGGCCCGAGGTATGTCGGGGCACCAGGGACTTCCTTTCTAGGGTATACCTGGTTCCCCGGCTATTAGTACCCGAGACGGCGTGCGGTTTTAGTCGGTTCGAGTCCGACATGCCACCGATAGGTGGTATCCGAGGGGATTTCCGCACGGAAAAAAGAAAAAGGTGAAACGAACACGGGAAATCCTTGAACGTAATTCGTAAACACCACTACCACGCAAGAGACCAAGTGAGTTTTATAATGTGAAGCTTAAGGCGCGAAATTTAAATAAACATATTTTTCTACTTGAGTCGTGAGCCCGCAAAGCACGTTATAAGCCGCCTCTGCACTTCAGGTTTAAGTACTTACACCAAACATTTTACGTTATTCAAAATCAATTATATTTAAGCTTAATAAATAGCATTAGAAATTAATCCTCTAATACTTAATAATCCTAAGATAAGATACAATGTAGCTTTGTGGCACAAGGTGTTTACCATCCTTTACTTTGTGTAGCAATCATTTTTCACGAGTGATAGCTTTTAACCAAAGCCTTCGATTTCTTTTAGCTTTTTGTATTCTGACTACTACCACTTTCTGACTTTGACCATATAAAAATGCACTGTTTTGGAAACAAACTACGCTAGCGTCACTTTGACTGTGCCAACTTCATAAAGTTATCCATACTGGTTTACTTGAAGGAGTACAAAGTGTGTCTTCAATCATATTAATTCTAATTCGGGTTCTACGAGTAAAAGATGGTTCATAGCCCTAAAAGAAATGGTGTGTTCTAAAATAAAAGTGCATAAACGCAGCTTAGGTTAATTGTTAATTGTTGATAGTGGTACCGTTTTAAAAAATGAGTCACCCCGGTATTTTTAAGGACAATTTTCGCTCTAAGAATATAGTAAAATACCTTATAGAAAAAAATATCCCGAGAAAAGGCTCATTAGCTCAAGAGATAGCGCTTTTGAAATGGTTAGATACGTGAACGAGCTATCTTAACACCAAAAATGATCAAGCAGCTCTAATCATATTTTGTTGGAGTTATTTGAAGGCAAAGAAATTGTATACTATTCCAAAGATACGGTAGTAAATACAGACGAAGCAGTCCACTATTAATACTATTACTACTATACTATACTATTACTATTACTACTTATTACTATTACTATTACTTACTATTACTATTACTATTACTATTACTACTACTATTAATACTATTAATCCAGCAGGTCTCCCTATCATAAGCTCTCGCTGCGTGTCGGTACAACTATGATGTTACTTTGAAATACAAAATCACATAAATTATGCAATGGTACTACCTTGCAAGTTAAGGCTTTGCATTGAAAGAAGAATGGTAGATCCTGCACACCTAGTAATACATGTTTTTTCAGTTGCCTTGCTGGCTTCTACCTCTCATTAGGTCGTTGTCGACGGGGCATGCTCCGACTTAAAGTCAGTAAATGCTGGTGTCCCGCAAGGCTGTGTGCTATCACCCACACTGTTTCTTATGCATATCAATGATATGTTACTAACTAGTGGCATCCATTGCTATGCAGATGATAGCACGGGAGATGCCTTTTATACCGCTCGTCCCAATATTTCTCGGGAAAACATCATCGAGAGTCAAAACGAACTTGTGTATGAAGTTGCAACTTCCTTAGCGCATGTTTCAGCTTGGGGTAGACTGAATCTGGTCCATTTTAAATTAAAAAAGACACAGGTTTTCGCATTCACCGTAAAAAAGATACCGTTTGTCGTATCGCCTCGGTTCGAGACCACCTGCCTAACTGCTTAAGCCGGTATTGCAATCCTAGGCATCGAGATATCGAGCGAAGTCCACTTTCGCGGTCATTTAGAGTGTAAGAAGCTCGGTGTGCTGAACAGATCGAGGCAGTATCAGGTGACCCGTCTGCTTGTTTGCCCCTATTCCATAATAAAGTAACCTCCTAACTATTTGCATGTAATTGTCATATTTTTAGAACTTGCTAAAAGCATATAAATTCTTCCCAAAAATCTTTTTTTTTTTGTTTTTCTATTGCAATCTATCAATCCTCCAGATATTAAACAATATGTCTAACATTTCATTATTAAAGGGCTTGCACGAAAGCCGTCCAGCGACGGCTCCGTTTATTCTTGTGCCTCTAAGAGAAGGTCTTGAGGAATTTTTATTTTTAGTCTACGAGCAACTGTTTGGGTGTTCATTAGATTGACTGCCAGCATATTTGGATGGTTAGTGATTCGCTTCTTGTACGCTTTTGTCCTTGCCGAGATTTCTTCCATAACTCTTTTAACGCAGAGGTCATGATGGAGTCTAATGTTTGAGACATACCAAGGTGCGTTCGTTATTATTCTTAGTATTTTTTACTGAAATCTCTGTATTATTTCAATGTTTGATTTTGCTGCTGTTCCCCAGAGTTGGAGGCCATATGTCCATATGGGTTTTATTATGCATTTATTTAGCAATAGTTTCTTTTGAAGTGAGAGTCGTGATTCTTTATTTAGTAGCCAGTACATAGTGCGCAATTGTTGGCCCATAGCTAATCAATTTGTGAAAATATGCTTCTTCCAGGTTAGGCGCCTATCCAAGTATATTCCAAGATACTTGGCGTGATCCTCTGTCGCGCTACATTCTACCAAGGCTATCAAGCACCCATTAGGCTTGGCACCGACTTCAAAAGACTAGAAGGGACTATTGCTATTATAATGTTACCTGTTATATTGAGGGTACTTTTTATAGTTTTTTTTTACTTAGATTTGTAATTATTATTTAATTTTTAGTGCTCTTTATGAGTAGTTTGAAGTCACTTCAACTTTACTTAAAATTAGTAAACATAAGTTGTTACATGGTATTTTCCAAAAAGGCATGCCAGCTCAATGTAGTTTCAAAATACAAGTGAAGGTAGTAGCAAATGAAAAATAACTAAGACTCGAGTTTTACCTATTAATTGTATTAGTATCTACCTAGGTATTCTTACCACCAAGCACAACCTTCAACAAATTTCAACAAATTTTTTTTATATACCTAATGATAGCTATTGAGTGTAGATAGTAGACTTCGCAAAATATGAACTCCATAACCTTGCCAGCACTCTTTGTGCTTTCGATCGCTTTGCATGAAGTTTACTAACTGTTGTCCTGGTCAGAGAGTACCTACCTTCAGTTTAATAATATTACGCGCATGCCTTCAGTTTAATATTTTGGGTAGGCAAACCCAAAATATTAAACTGAAGGCATGCGCGTAAACTAAATGTGGGTAACTATAGATGTTATGATGTGTATATACTTATGTATGTATATCTACAGTTGCTAACTCGAATGCCGCTTTACCTACCGCATACCTTGACAACCCAATTAGCGTGTTCTTTGCGAGAAGTGGCAAAGAATTAGATCGCGCTAATTGGCTCGGAGTAGAAGGTTTAATAAAAAGTAACTAATTGTAGGTACCTACGCGTTACTTGACTGTCGATTATGCATGTTTAAAATAAATGTCAAAGTTTAATAAGCTTACAAGTTAAATATGTAGGTACTTACCTAATACTTAGGTATTCAAGTGGTTGTTATTTGCATCTAATTTGCAGTTTCGAAGGAAAGGGTAGCTTACATAGCAATATAGCAAGAATCCCTGTTGATATGATCACAATGAAGGATAAATAGAATTGACATAAACTAAGCTGCAAATTACATCACTAACATTTAAAATACAAAATCTGACGTGCTAACTCTAAAAATAAATTGCTTACTTATATACCTACCTATGACAGTGGGAGAGCCATGCTCTGCACAAATGAGCTGGCTCGACCTGAGCGATACCACAGACTCACAGAAAACTGATTGATCAAGCAATTTTTTCACCGAGTGAGTAAGGTTATCAGAACCCAAACCCCTCCCCCGTTCCACTGATCCTGGGGGAGGGGGGAGGTCTGCTCGTTTGCCCCTACGCATTAAACAAAAGTCTTATAGTTTTTGAATTTTAAAGCACTACAGAATAGTTGCCTATGAAATGCACGAGAATGTGGATATCGGACAGCTCTATGCATACTGAATGTGAACTTCGATATCAAAGGTCGAGTGAGCTTCTCCAGTAGGTACGTAGATAAAGGTATGGATGCTTTGACGTCAGAATGGCCGGCAGCGCGCGCCAATGACGATGCGAGGCGGCGCTACAATGCGCTGGCGCACCGCCCACTCACAGCGGCTTGGAAAACTCGGAAAACTTAATGCGCTTTTATGATGTAATGTAAACAAACATTTTGTTACATTGTTAGTTAATTAGTATAGTAAAATTTTACAATACAGGCACTAAGTATCTTCTAGTAAGAGAATGAAATTAATAATAATAATTTCTTTAATAAAAATTAATAGTATAGTATAAAACACGTTATCATACTTACGTGCATTATTTATTTTAATATATTTATAAAACACACATATCTATTCTATTTCTAAATTTATTCATGCTATTTTTAACCCTTAGTACACATGCATGTATTTATATTGAAACTTTTTATTATGACTAATCAATAAGTAAACAAATACAAGACGAACGTATCAGCAGTCGGCGCGCGCCCCTTCTGTCAAACATTTTTATAGTAATGCGCGGAGTATAAGGAACTCTTTATAGTCTATGCGCGCGAGTCGGCTGCACGCGTACATTCATCCTACTATTTAAAAAATACGCGGAATTTGAACGTTTGAATTTTAAGATTGTGTCATTGACAATGAGTTGGGACCAAGACCGAGATCGTCAACCTCAAACCGACATGGTGGAAATTAATGAAGCAGTTGGGAAATTGTTAGAAAGTTTTAATTATGATAGTATTGTCCCGCAACCGACCAAGTAAGTAACTGGTTATACCCATACACTCTTTGTTATGATTTTTTTGTATTGTACGCAGTTTATGTGCGCAATTTCGGTACATTGAAATAAACTTCTGTTTCTGTTTGTAAATTACTTTTACGATTCATGAAGTTTTTTGTTATTTAAGGTAATTTTTGCAAAGGTTTTAAAAAGTTGTATTTAAAAGAAAAGACATTTAATCTTTCGTTTTTTTATACTCGGTAATTAGGTCTTTTTTCATACGTCATATTAGCATTGTCTTCTTTTTAATGTTGTTATTTATTATAATGTTTTTATAGTTTTGTGCTTTTAACAGTGTGCCTAAATAAATAGAAAAGTAAACTATTTTAAGTAAATTAAGTAATAATTAATTGTCTCATGACCTTTAGTTACCTTTTAGTTTTCCGATAAAAGAAATTTTCAAAGGAAAATAGAAGGCAGGTATATTTTTTCCAAATTTGAATTGAAATTGATTTTTTTTCAATTTGCTAAAGGTTAAAAATATATCTTGGTTTATGTCTTTCTCTCTATGTTTTTAAATTTACATAACACATGTCATGCTTAATTTGAATTGAATTAAATTGAAGTATTTTATTAAATTGAATTAATTTGAAGTAGGTATATAAAACGGTGTATAACATATTATTACCATATTATATTTTCGTGTACTATCAACTAAACTAAACTGAAAAAAAAAACTAAAATAATTAAGTACACCTAGCTGAGTAGGAGTTGTGGATTTAGCGGTATTTCTTACAAGTGTTTGTTATGCTGAATCATACCTTCAACCGTGTGCAAATGCATCCGACGAATATATCCAAGTGATTATATTATATATATTAAGTTCTGAACTTCGATAATTTTGTAAAAGTACATTTAAGACTTGTTTTTGAAGTATACCAAATCTTGACATCACTGAATACTTTTTTAATAGTCGAAGATTTATTTGATTACAACACATTGTGTTATTCTATCGATAGTAGTTACTTACATATAAATATTCTACAAAATAATTCCCAAAAAGCTAAACTTTCTTTATTTAACTTTATTATTTTATTTCTAGCAACAAGCAACTCAGCCATGGCTTAAGACTTCTGCAAAGATCCTTTTCGGTCATCGATTGAAAAAAATAAAATATACTTTATTGTACACTAATAACATATTTCTTAAATCAAATACATAAAGTACCTATGTGCTAAGGACTCGGCTAAACGCGATCTTATACAGGCAACCTTTGGTTGGTAGAAATCGATAAAATTTTAAAATGGATACTTTTGCTATAAGAAAGACGTAAAGAGAAATGCCGTTTTTTTTGGAACGAAGTTCCTTAACGCTCGTTACACGTTCTGGGCGGATGGGAGCGAGACCGAAAAATCTGTAACAAGACTTTTTTCCGACACTATAGCTAACGTCCACTAAAAAGCAAGCAAGGTCTATGGACCGAAGAAAAACAAAGTTCTCGTTTGGTCTTAGGTCCATAGACCCCTCACGCCGTTTATTACTGTATATAAGGGCGGGTTGTTGATCCTGATCTATCCTATATCGCTTACGCACCCGGTACATGCGGTACCTAGCCATCGTGGCTAGGTACCGTATGCCGTCCGTATGGACAAGCCGTCTCAAAGCTATGATCCTTTCTTCAAAAGGCGAACCCTGACCCTATACTGCACTCACATAGATCTCTTTAACACGGACTTAAAAAAAAGACACCTCTGTGGTTTGCTTCGGCGTTTCTTCAAAGAGTGAGTCTTAGGAAATGCTGGCGCCTTCTAGGTGTAAAGTCCGACTTGTAAAAATATCTGAAAAGATTTACTTGCAGAAATAAATATCATTTTATCATTTTTGTTATCAAACGAGCAGACGCGACGGGTCACACAAGTCCCAAGTGCGCTACCGTCTTTTGAGTGGTGGACCTTAGAATCGGCGGAGGGGGTTTTTTGGCTTCGGAAACCTCGCTTCTTCGGTGAAAAGCAACGAAAAAATTGCTTAACACCAACTTTCTGAGGGTCCGTGGTAACACTCTCGTCGAGCCGGCCCATTTGTACTAACGCATGGCAATGTAAAAACCTTATAACCGTGGTCTCTTGGACTACCTAGTTTTTGCTGGAAGGGAAGTCACCCTCAATTCAATTGTTCGAACTTAAGGAGGAACGATTTTTAAAGTAGGCAAATAAGCGTCAATTAGTTGGCCCCTTATTAAAAAAAACCTTAAAGTCTGTAATTTATTTTCTAAAATGTATTCCAAACTGATTTTGAACGAAAACAACGTAGTTTTTTCATTTAAGAAATCTTGCAAAATAATAATATGTAATTTAACAGATAAAAGAAAATAATAAAGGCTCAACAATAATGCTTTAAGCTCGTTTATCTTTATATTATTTATTGCTTATGTGACCTCGTATAACATGAATTATTCCGTAATTAGTTATGCTTAATACCTAAGTGAGATAGAGTGTATCTATGTAATGTGGAGCCGGGGTCAGCGGGTCAGCAATGGGCGGTCTACATTAAACCAACACGGGATCTACCGCTTCTAATTGAATAGGCACTATGTTATCCCTTATCTCATCTGTTCTTGTTTGTTAATTTCCGATCAACCGCTTCGGCATTTTACATCGACAATCTTCTCTTCCTAGTATGAGCATTTGATGATAACCGAAACACTAGAAACTGTTGCTGTTTTTCTATCATCGCAGAATATCGTATTTGGTAATAGACGACTTTTTTTAATCACTTGTTCTTGCTAGTCTTGAAGAAAAGGTCCTCTTTTAGGATTCCGTTCTTCAAAAAGAAAAAAGAAATCCTTATCGGACAACTTTGTTTGTGGATTCCTTCTCTTAGAAATGCGTGGAATTATCAACTTGCAATTCGCATCAAATACTCATATTATCTGCGGTCTTGAGGGCTATAAAAAGTAAAACTTAGAAGTTTGAAAGTTTAAACATATAAGTAATAACAGATAAACAAAAATCTACAAAGGCTACTTCTCATTTACGTAGAAGCATAACATTTTGCAAGCATCGAAATCTCATAATGAAAATTTTAATTTAGCTAAAAAATAAAAAAATCCATATTGATTATTTTTTTTAGAAAACACACGGTAATACTAAGATACATCATTTCAAACTGTTCGTTCAGTCAGTTCGAAGTTTTAATTTAATAAAGAAATTCATATTCTTTTATGTATACTTACGTACGTTACCTACTCTCCTTTTTTGGGTAGTCGTGTTAAAATATTGAAGTCGCCCGATATTAACGAACTATCTACACACAATTTTGTTTACTTGGAATATTAATCTATCTATCATTTAAATAATTCTTTATATGATAATTACTATTTGTAAATCATAAAGCTGTCTTTAAATTTGTTCATTAAAACGTAGTTGCCGAAAATACAAAATAGCCTAATAGCTAATTCATTTACCAACTTATATTATTTATACTTAGGCAATAACGTAATGAATTGAATCGAGAGAGAGGCTACTGGTGTGGCCCAGTGTGGCCCAGCCTGGTCTGATGGTTTAGGGACATTTGCTATGCTATGCTATATCTGCTATGCTTCTTATGGAAAAAAAATCAACCCCCAGTGTCAGTGCGGCTTATCACTTAAGTTGCAAAAACAAAGATGATACAAGCAAATATGGGCGTCATAGTTATTATGACAGTACGTATTAGTTAAAGGCGTGCCGTTACTTGACATAATATTTGTCAAGTTCCCTTCCTGCCTAGTAGGCCGATTTATTTCCGCGAGACATAGCGATAAATATGCCTGCGCAAACATTCTCATTGGGGCGCTTATCTCTGCGAGGGAGTCCCCGACTAAAATTTGTTCCCGTCAAAAGCGTTGAGCTTTTTTTAAATTACCGCGTTAGTAATTTCACGGTTTTTTTGAACAATTTAAACTACGCTGGGACTCATTTTCAGATTTTTGACAACCTAATGTCAAAAGTATCAGGCCGACCAGAAGTAACAAAGTCCTGCCTTCTTTGGTATTGATGGTTAGGCGATCCACACTTAAAGTACATAAACTGCTATGTTTAAATGATTGTAGCTTTGAAACGTTATGCTTAATGGTAAATTTTAACGACCGTTCGTCTAGATATGAACTACCTATTAAAGCCGAATTCTCCGATCAATTTATATAGTTTATGTCCTTTTCACACACTTAGTAAGTTCAAAGCTCCGCGTCAGATTAAGATTTCCTCGCCTGTGTTGATCTCGCACCGGTGCGAGCAAACATCCCGTCGGTTTGCGGAGTGATTGTAGCCTGGCGTTTAAGTGGGGGCGCAAACAACCTCACACAGGTGCCGCCGGAACACAACCCCTGTTTGTACAGGCCACTTCGCGCCCTTTGCACCTTTCTCACTTGCACTTGTTACGACGTGACATTTGAACTTAGAATAAAAGAAAATGGCTATTCCCAAAGAATGAATACCACACAATTCTCATCAATAGAAATAAAACACGTTATCGACACAAAATTTCATTGATTTCTTTATAGCACAATATGTTGAGGATTCTATTTAATGGTTATGCGGTAAATAGATAGTATTTTATTTATTTAGTAGCTGTAATCGAGAGTGTATCCATGTCTAGGCGACCACTAGTGCTCCTCGTTGGAAAATGAATCATTTGGGTACGATTGGACGACTCTAACAGTGTCTCATTGATTCACACTATAAAGAGGTACATACAAATTCTATGGTCAGTGTACAACTTTTAAACTTCATCAACATCAACAGCCTTTGATAGTCCTCTGCTAGACATAGGCCTCTCCTCTGAAAGGAGGTTAAACTTTCCCTTTTATAATATGTGTACTGTGTACAACTTTAAACTTACCCGTCCTATAATATAAAATGATGTACACCTATGTATGGAAATTAACGTGATCACGTAAAAAATATTTCATACCGTGGAATTGCCTAAAGTTTCGTCCAAGTTGCATTGGGCCGTGGTGGCTGGCTGATACGCTACGTCATCGTGTTAATTTCCGTACTTAT